ATATATGCCCATTATTTCTTACTTATTTCTTGATATATTACTTATTTTTGTTTGACACCTTTTACCATTCATCAGAAAGTTTCTGAGAAAAAAAGGAAATAGAATAGAGGTGTCACCTGATTTTTACAGAGTTGTTTATAAACTAAACACATCAAACTTTAATAGAATTGTCACAGGCCAAAATGTCAAACAAAAAACATGTTTCCAAAAATATAAGTCAATTGTGGAATTCTAGTCTCTCCTGTGTATTATATGGATAAAAACCAAATGCATCACCTAACTAAAATGCTCATTATGTTTTCACTGACATTTCTGAAGCCATCCATAAAGCCAGTCCTCAAAGACCACCATCAGCTTACTTAAGTCAAAGAAGGCACCAAAGTGTGACCCCACAGGAGATCATAACCATGAATGTGGCAAAAGGATCAAAATGAGTCATTATCATTTCAAAATCCAAAAATCTAACTTATTCAACAAATATAAAGTTCCAACTATGTGTTAGGTCCATGAATTAACTTGCCCTAGTATTGTGTCAAGCACAAAGTTATAATATTTTTTTCCATATTGAAAGTATACAATATTATATGATATAGAATACTGTTTTGTTTTCTAAATACAGACATCAAAGAACTTTCTGCTCAAGTTTCATCTAAATAAAACATAGGTTTCATAAATTTCACCTGGAATCTACTGATTTTATTTATTTAAATAACTATTACAACTAGGATGCATTATCTATAAAAGTCTTACCATTACATTAATTCATGTGAGGGTTTAAATTGTTACTTAGTCTAAGAGGAAAAAGAGAAAATTAAACAGTTCCTTAAGAAAGGCATTTTCATGTCAATTATATACATCAGCTGGCCACACTGAATTTGACATATTAAAGTTCCAATAATTTTGCCTAATTCTGAGGGCTCTATAGTTTTATAAATTCTACTCATCACAGGTCTACACTGTCTTTAAGCTTCGGCTTTCATTTTGCTGGCAGATGTGCCGTGATGGCATTTTTGTTCCATGCTTTTGGTCACTTGCTGGAATGGGATTCTGGAAGAATATTTTATGTTTAATGCCCTGAGCCATATGCCACAGAAGATCACAGATTAAGCTGTGATGTTTTGATACTGAAAGACTTTGACTAAAGACTTGAGGCTGATGTAACAGACCAGTAACTCTGTGAGACAGCAGACTGATGCATCCCTCCAACAAGAACAGAGGCACGATGGAATACTGAAATTCCACCCACATCTACTGAGCATTCAGATTCTCTGGAAGTGACTGATATACAAATTGAATTCCTGAGAGCAAGACTAGCAAAGGAGAATTCTTTCATCTTAAGTGTTCATACTGATGGATTGCATGGGTAACTGACTCTGGTCTAGGCAAAGTAATGAGAAACTGAACTAGGGAAACAGAAGTATAAGTGCAAAGGAAAGAGATTATAGCGGGATAATGAGGTTAATTTGACTTAAAAAAAACTTGGAGAGGCAAATGCAATGGACACCATCTTTTGTCAAAACAGATCTATGTTCTATGCCTTTCCACCATGCTCTCTGCATTGGGAGGCTGACCTATGTGGTCTACAATGAGCTCCCTTGCTCTATGGATTCCAGGTGGACTTAGTCCATGGCAACCTGGACAGGCCAACAGAGGAAAGTGAGAGATCAGAGTACTGATTCCCTTCACTGTATCCCAGTGAAGCTGCCTCACACTGGCTACATCTCTCTATCCAAGGTCACAGTGCCTCTCAAGACAGCTCTCTCTACCCTTCTCTCTTCTTCCAGGTTCCAGCAGCCACTTCCTTTCCACATCCTTTGGGCTGAGATAGTAACAACCCAACTGCTATGAGCACTGGACACTATACTCTCCCTGTGGTTTCCCTAAACTTAACCTCACCTAAGTCCACAGTTTGCTAGGAAAGGGTACATGTTAGCCAATGGCAGTGCTGGAACTGGACTCTACAGCTTTTGTGTTCCTACATCTGTGCTCTTTTCTTAGAATGCAGCATGTATCTACTTGACTAGTTTCCATGAGTCAAGTATTAAGTACCTAATCTGCTAATTGATATGTGAGGAAAAAAAATAGAAATACAACAGCTTTCCAGCAGTTTACAGTCTTAACTGATTAATAATTCATACAAATGTTTTGAAATGAGTACGAAAGAGACATGACTGTGAAGGCTACACAAAAATAGGGTGTTTTGTAAGACCAGGGTACTGCCATCTAATATTAACATTTGGAGATTTCAGAGGTTTCTTGTCGGTGTGAGTGAGAAAGGAGTAACAGGCTTAATTATTGTATCAACAATCAAGGACTATCTAATTTATCATGTTTAAGCATATAAGTTTTAATTGTAGAATATAATATGTAAGTATAAGAATCTATAAACCTATCTGCTCCTACCCGATTGAGACCATCCTTCTAAATGACAACTTAAATCAGGGGTGGGAACCTTTTTTCTGCCACCGGCTATTTAGATAGTTATAACATCATTCTCGGGCCATACAAAATTATCAACTTAAAAATTAGCCTGCTATATTTGATCAAAAAATTAATTAACTCACCCCTAATGCCTTGGCATGGCCAGACCAAAGGATTTCATGGGCCTTATAAGGCTTGAGTGCCGGACGTTCCCCACCCTGGCTTAACTAAAAACATATGTTGGCAAATGAACAAGCAATTTTTTTACTTATTATTCATGTATATATGTGTGAATTTATGTATGTATTGCAACTATTTAGCTGCACATGTGAAGTAAGAAGAGGAAAGTCTGAAAGCCCACACACCTGAACATTGCTTCTTAGAAATAACATGTGTTCTCCTCCTGTTTACTGTATGATTTGGTATATACAATTCTCAACTATGATGGAACCTTCTTAACAGGAACTGTAACTACAAATGCATCATTATTCTATTTTCACATATTCATGACTTTTTCAAGAGCATTTATCAATGGCTGAGAAATCACCTGCTTGGATTCTCCTAAGGGAAAAATTTCTTTAAATCTGAAGAGCTATTTTCAATTTTGAAATTATTGCTGGAAGAAAAAAGGTAATGTCTATATAGACAGTTAAAATTATCTCTATTCATCTTAAGGTTGAAATTAGTTTATTCTGTTAATTACAATTGCTTCACAAAGTTTTCACTTTTCCACTTGCTATGTCTAAATATCAGACTTTGGAAAGTGGATGATGATTCCCAAGATGCTCGGTGAATTAATAATTAAGAAAGAAAAAAGCCTCAATAGAGAAGAAATCATCCTAAAAGGCCTTTCCTCAGGAATCTGTTCTACAGGAAACTTTCACCATTGAAGAGGTAGGTCAAGTAAGCATATTTCCCAGTGTGTGAAGGTGTTACAAGCTGAAACATCTTCAGGGACAGGCAGTTAATCTGAATGTGTGAAGTAGCCAAGTCTTAAACAATACAGAGTTGTGAGGACAATAACTACCTGCGAAGTACAGACCCCTAAGGCCTGAAGTGTGTGTATGTGTGTGTACAAATGATGAATGGCTGGGGCTGAATTCTGCCTGTGGACCACCAGTTTGTGGTGTCGATTTTAGGCAGACTAAGTTGAATACTTCTTTCTACATTTCAACTTTGTGGAAATTTTTCATTCCTTGGGTCAACTAGTTCAAAACATTTCATGTATAGCAGTGGTCTGAATGTGTGTCCCCCGCCAAAGTCCATATATTGAAATCCAAACCCCCAAAGAAGATGGTATTAGGAGGTGGAGCCTTGGATTGTGCTTAGGTCATAAGGGTGAAGCCTTTATGAATGAGATTAGTATTTTTATTAAAGAGACACCAAACTGATTCCTAGCCCTTTGAACACATGAGGACACAGCAAACAAGCGATGGCTATGAACCAGAAACAGGGCCTTCACCCAACCATGATGGCTGCTAATCTTGGATTTCCCAGCCTCCAGAACTGTGAGAAATAAATGTCTGTTGTTTATAAGCCTCCCATTCTATAGCACTCTGTTACTCAAATAGACTAAGACAATGACCAACCTACCCCTTTATTTTCAATTTCATAAGAAGAATCAAAGAGTCAAAGTATTAATTTTAAGTTTCATTTCCTAGGCATTGAAAAAAGGAACTTCCTCAAATGCATCTCATGTCTTTTAAGTTCTTCCACTCCTTGTACACAAAACACAAGAGGAAAGATTTCATGAAATTCCAGTATAGAGCAGTTCACTGATAAAAATCAGGTATTATCAAAATTACCTAAGAATTACTGACATCCTAAACACTGAGAACTGAACTGTGAAACAAAGGATTATCTTAGTTTTATTCTTCAGGCGAAAAAAAAACAAAAAACCACACACACAAAATGCCATTATCTAAATGTTGATCTTATCTTGTACTGTCTCAAAGAATCACAGTTGTGACTTTATGTTCAACCAAGCATATTAATGGGAGACAGGATGTCTGCACAACTCAACTCAATCGTCTGTTTTTCCATACCACGACATTCATTATTATGGGATGGAAAGTTTGGCTAAGATAATACTCATATCTTATGCCAATACTTGTGTACCAACACAGTTGAAGTTTTCTCCCACGGCTCATAATTTAACTACTAAAATACTCAATTGCACATCTGATGAGCAAGAAATTCTACATCAAAATTCCTGATTAATATGAAATGAGTTTTTGCTTCCATACTCAAACACTATGGATTTAAAAGATATTTTCTTTAACTTGTGAATTTTTACATACTACATGCTCCATTTTTTCATTTTAGTACAGTCAAAATTATGACAGTCAGAATTTATGACAGAATTATGTGAGCAAAATCCATGGAAGGTTTTTCAAAGCTGGACTATAATTATTTTAAATATACCTATGCATATGGAAAAAGACTGGAAAGCAAATTTTTAAATGCACAAAATTACATTGGAAAGGTTGAATTACAGGTGCCCTTTTCCTTACATAAAATTGTATCATTGTTGATACAGTGTAAATTCAATGAAAATTATTTAAAGCTCAAGTACTTACCATGGTTGGAAAGTATCGACTGGTTTTGAATTTTTTCAGAGCCATGGAAGTGGTGTAGGTGCCCAAGAAGAGGATGAAAGACATGAGTGTGACATCAGGAACAAAATCGCAGTTGCTCCCCACGAGCTGGCCCCCATGTTTCAAACACTCCTTCTTCGACAAAAGTGCCCAGTCAAAGGTAGCATTGTAGTACTGAAGAAGAAAAACATTAACATTTTTCTAGAGCACACTGACATATCAAAAGCTTTTCTACTTGAGGGGCCTATAGGGATTATGCTAAAAGTCTCTGTACAACAGTCTGAAGGCCACCTTTGCAGGGTGAAACTGGGTGACATGTTAATGGGATAACAAGGACGGGTGCCCAGGAGGCTGGCAGTTATTGAAAATGCAATGAGAATGTCACAGTCTGTTACCTACTTTGAGCTACAACCCGACAGTCACCTATTTGTTCAACCGAAACAAACCAAGTCCTTCTTTCCCATCAGTCTTCCTGAGAGTAAACTGAGGCACATATCGTGTCTCAAAATGTGAGAGTCTGAAACACGGTTGTTCAAAAGTACTTACTTTTGTAGTGAGCAGCCCCTTATGCTTCAAGCTTTTAATGCACTAAAAGTTAGTATATTGTTAACTACTCATTTACCCAACATTTTCACAAATGAACTATTTGTTTTCTAAATAACTAGAGTTGGAAAATTAAGGAATACATCTATAAAATGTTGATGGACCCTGCTTTTTCAATGTACATCCTGATAAAATATAGCTTTTTTTCTTGTTGACTCCAGGTCTGCATCATGAGCATCCCTCATTGGAAAGTGCGGTAATGGGCTGTGGTGTTGAGTATGGGATATCCATCCATCCCTACATTACATGGCCTCAAACTCAAAGGTCAATTTTCAAATTTCCTTCTCCTAAGTTGCTGTCATGTTGTCAGTGTTGTGCTTCTCAAGAACAGCTCACTCCTGTTCCTATTTTCTGTTTCTACTATGCAGGAGAATCCTTTTACTAAGGTAATGAATAGGCCAGTGCACCCATCCCCAGCTGCTCTGAGTTTTAGCCTCGACCAGCTCACAGCTCCCTCCTCCTCTAGAGAACTGCCTTCAGCCTAAGAGCTACCTCACCTGGAATGTTATACCCTCCTGAAGCCAATTACTGACCACACTAATGGGGTGCTGCTGACTGAATATTTGGGCTCCCCTAAAACTCAATGTTGAAACCTAATCCCCTATGTGATGGAGGTGGAGCCTTCATGAATGGGATTAGTGTTCTTATAAAAGGGACCCCAGAGAGCTCCCTTGCCCTTCTGCCATATGAGGACATAGTGAGGAGAAGGCTGTCCATGAGGTAGAAAGCACATCCGCACCAGATACTGAATCTGCCAACACCATGATATTGGACTTCCTCTTGGGTACAGGGCTAATGGGTATATTATGTGCTATTTGAGGATACCTTGCAAATAAGCATGGAAAGGTAAATTTCTCCTGTCCTTTGGAAGCAAGAATTCTACCTCAAACCAAATGCATCCTCAGTACCATTTACTGTACAATGAATTCTCTTGATATGTTAATAGGAGTGATCTAGTCAAAAAAGATCATACATATAAAAGAAGACTTTCTGGACAGGAAACGTGCTATATTTTTATAGAACTCAACATGTAAAGTGCTCACACTTTTCTTTTACAACAACAACAAAAATAAACTCTAAATCATTCCCTGAAATATCTTTTCTATATTAGCTTCAACTTAAAAACATCTGAATTGCATAAATACTCCTTTATCAAATTCTGCTCCTGAGAGTTGATTAATCATGTCTCATTTTGTTTTTTCAAATTTCTGCAAATGGATGTTTTCAGCAGAATACATTTAAAGTTTAGAGGTCATGATAGGTAACAGATTTCTTTGTTTTAAAATCAGCAAATATTTACTATAATTTCAGTTAGGGTCTTTTATATCAGCAGAATGACTTTTTTTTCAATTGCCACCTGAGGATATGTTTTTATTGATTTTTATTTGAAAGAGAGAGGAACGGAGAAAGAGAGAGAAAGAGAAGTTAAAAAGAAATCAATGTGAGTGAGAAACATCCATTAGTTGCTTCCCGTATATGGGCCCAACCTGGGATCGAACCGGCAACCTAGGTATGTACCCACAACCTTTTGGTGTATGGGATGAGGCTCCAACTAAGCCACCCAGCCAGGGCCAGAATGCTTTTTTATAACTAGACTTCCCAAAGAGGTAGGCTGCATTAAAACAATCCCAACAGGAAGTTTTATTGATTTTCTTACAGAGATTCAGGTTGAAGTGAAAACTATACACACATACGTGAAACGATGAAGATGTTTTCTTGCTTACACACAATGCTTCATTCACTTATCCATTAAGTCCTTTATTCAAACGTTACTGAGTTCTCACCATGTGGAGGGACTGACAGTGAGTGGACCAGGTGGGTCAAAGTAGATTGTCCATGTAAATGGAAAGTGAGGAAAAAAAGTAAAGGAAATGGGACCAAGTTTCTGGTGGTCTTAACTGAGGTCAAGCTCATAGAAGAAGATGTTAGTCTATTTATCTGGATCTCATCTTCTAGGGACCCTGTTTATATTAAGTGGATTTGTTTCTAACTCTTAAGAGTAGAATGTATACTAAAATATTAATTTCAAAATTTAAAATACTATAGCATCCTCTCCAATCACAAAAGTGGGGGCTAGATGAGAGAGGATGGGCAGAATGTTGACAGTCTCTGAAGCTAGGCCATATGTATGTGGGTTTCACTGTGCTATGCTCTCTACTTTAGTGCACGTTTTACATGTTCCACAGTAGTTTAAAAACTAGGCACTAGGCACATGTAATCTTCAAGGAGATTTAAGGACAGAGTGGTTCCTGCACTTATCTTTCTCAATGAGAGAAAAGCATAAGGACGCTACGCACAAGAAGATAAACATGACATTCCATTTCCTATTGAAATGAATGTTCACTCCTCGAATTGCCCAGAAGGTATATCAAATCAAAGCACTTTTGCTTTCATGTCTGGCTGCCAAGCAGAATATATGAGACTATAATACTTCTTAGTCCCATGATTAACAGCATCTCCATGTAGACATGATATGCTTTTCTGGGTAATATAATAAGGAAAAAAATTGAAAAATTAAAAATTCTACATTGCTCTCTTTGAGTATAGACTGGTAAAATATATGCCTTTTAAAATATATATAAATGATGGTAATGCTATAAATAAAAGTCTCAAGGTTAAATAGAACATGTACTCATTTAGGGTTCTTCCCTGCAGTGGGTGAGTCAGATTTGCAGTAATCTACAATCTTATTTTATGATGGACAGGATGCATTTGAGCTTCACTTGTCTGTATTATATGTATTATTGTAAAATATCAAAACTAATTAGTTAGCCAAACCGGTTTGGCTCAGTGGATAGAGCGTCGGCCTTTGGACTGAAGGGTCCCGGGTTCGATTCCGGTCAAGGGCATGTACCTGGGTTGCGGGCACATCCCCAGTAGGGGGCGTGCAGGAGGCACCTGATCGATCTCTCTCATCGATGTTTCTAACTCTCTGTCCCTCTCCCTTCTTCTCTATAAAAAATCAATAAAATATTAAAAAAAAAACTAATTAGTTAAGATTCAGGAAGTTGCAGGATACCGTCACAGCTGGATAAGCTATAAAATCATAATTTTTAAACATCCACCAGAGATGAGGATGCAAAGAAACCTAAATAAATTCCAAAAAGTTACAAAACCTTCAAAAGCTTCCTCACCCTTGGCAGAGTAGCAGGTGGAAGATAAAGCAACTACAGATGGAAGTAAGGAGAAATAAGCGAAATCTTAAATGAATTTTTAATAGCTGCCTAACTGCCAGTTAGGATTCTGAGGGGCCCCAGGCATAAATGGAGCCTGTATACACCCACCAAACTTTCTCACAGTCTTTGCCGTGTGCCCGGGTAGCATAGAGAAGGCCGGAGGTTAGATAAGATTGCTGCAAGAAATCCCCCCTTAGACCCAGAGTCTCCACCAAATGCAAGAAAGCCCCTTTCCTAAGACGGGAGGCAGGGCAGGAGAGCTGAGAGAAAACCCTTGGAGCCATTCAGGCACTTTTGACTAAAGAGGACTAAGGCATCTGACCCCTAGAGATTGAGGCAGAGCAGTCGGAAAAAGAAAGATCTCTCAAAGCCCAAAAGCTGGGGCATAGAACAAGATCTAGAACATTCCATGGGGCATTCTGGGATGAGGGGGGTGTTCTTGTTTGGGGTGGCAGTTACATGAGTGTATAAAATGCATGGCAGTGAACACATAAGAACTGCACATTTTACGACAGGCCTCAATTTACTAAAAAACAATTTATTTATTTATTTATTTATTTATTTATTTATTTATTTGACTCTTATACCGGGTGGAGCAAAAGTAGGTTTACAGATGTTTGTATGGAAAATAATGCAAAAGGTAATCAATAATAATACAAGAATAAACTTTGTGATTTGTGTACTGACAACTGTGAGCCTACTTTTGGTATCTTGGGTGTAAATACTATTACCATCACCAGTTTACAAATGGGAAACAGAAGTTTCCACAGGATATTTTTTTAAATTTTTTTATTGATTAATTTATTACATATGTGTCCTTATCCCGTTACCCCCTACCCCCCCACTCATGCCCTCACCCCCCTGTTGTCCGTGTCCATTGGTTAGGCCTATATGCTTGCATATAAGTCCTATGGTTGATCTCTCCCCCTTACCCCCACCCTCCCCTACCTTCCCTCCGAGGCCCAACGGTCCAGTCGATGCCTCTCTGTCTCTGGATCTGTCCTTGTTCATCAGTTTATGTTGTTTATTATATTCCACAAATGAGTGAGATCATGTGGTATTTATCCTTCTCTGACTGGCTTATTTCACTTAACATAATGCTCTCCAGTTCCATCCATGCTGTGGCAAATGGTAAGAATTCCTTCTTTTTTACAGCAGCGTAGTATTCCATTGTGTAGATATACCACAGTTTTCTAATCCATTCATCTGTTGATGGGCACTTAGGCTGTTTCCATATCTTAGCTGTGGTAAATTGTGCTGCTATGAACATAAGGATGCATATATCCTTTCTGATTGGTGTTTCTGGTTTCTTGGGATATATTCCTAGAAGTGGGATCACTGGGTTTCCACAGGCTATTAAGTAGTGGAGCCTTGCATTTGAAGCTAGGCAGTCTGACACAAGAACTCAATATCTGCAAGTCTTCTACATGAAACAGTTGTGATTACCCAAACAATGGAAATGGGCAAATTTTGGAGCTGGAAAGCCCTCAGCTCAAATCCTGGTTTTACCATATACTGGTGATATGGCCTTTGGAAGGTCAGTTAACCTTTCTAAGCCTCTGTTTCATCTATAAATTACAGGTTACATAATAGCTCACAAAGTTATTGTAAGGATTATAGACAATTAATGTAAAGAGTCTGTCCCCTAGTAGGTGCTTAAAAAATGGTAGTTATTGCTGATGATAATAATCATATTACCTCTTCAATACTCATTTCTAGATTATCTACCTATATATTGTCTGTGTGTCTGTGTGTGTGTCTATGCAAAGTACACACAAAGGAATTGATATGGATAGAAAAGGAGAGATGAAAATAGAATAAACATTATCTTTCATAATTAAATATACACATATGCATATTTTTTCCTAATTTTTTCTCTGAACATAGCCACTTAACAATTTAATTAAGGTGTGCAATTAATGCTCACAGGAGGGGCTGCTGCCCTGAAATATACAGCACCCATAGGAACTGAGAGGGTAAACATTTCAGTTTGCAAACACGGAAGCATCATGGTGCTTCAGTGTTTCCAATATCACAAGTCTTGGAACTACCCAGACTTCAATTCTTTGTTCTACAAATTTATGCTTATGTGACCTAGAGCAAGAAAGATTTCTTACCTTCTGGAACTTCAGTTTCTTTCATCTAGCAAATGGAGATAATCATGCCTGCTAGTTTGTGTTAATGATTATAATACATATTAAGGTTCATAGTGATTATAAGACATGTACAACACCTTGTTGGTAGCAGACGCTCTATAATTGGCAGTTAAATTATAATCATCATTGTGCCTTTATATCCTCTATCATAGTCACAAACTGCCATTTGTTTTCCATGAATCTTACAGTGTCATCTGACTATAATGACAATATATCAATTACTGAAGTCTCCCCAGGTCTTGCCCAAAGAAAGGACTTAAAAATTCATTAATTTTATAGCTTTCCTTGATTAGTTACTAAAATAATTAGGTTAGGAACAATCTCTTTTTAAGTCAGTGGAAGCGAGTGTTTTATTAATTTTTATTGTTTACAGTTTTAATTAAATATACTTTTAAATTTTTAGATTTTAATTAAAATTCTTTAAAGTCTAGAAGAGAGTATTTTTCTCTGTATTTTAAATCAAATCCTTGCAGGCAATAGGCTGGCTGGCTCAAAGATTGAAAACTGAACTCTTTTCTCAATGTGGCTTTTAAAAGGTATATGCACACACACACACACACACACACATTCAAATGTGGAAGAAATAAAGAGGCTATGTGGGGAAAGTCAGAGAAAACTTTTAAAAAGTTAAGAGAGCCACAGACTATGAAAACAAGAGAGAAATAGGGTCAAGTGAGAGTTGTCCAGGAAAGATACAAAACATCATCTTTGAAAGGGATGTTGTGTGTAATACCTGCAGAAGTGTTCTGGTCTCCTGAGAGATGGGCACTCTATCAATACAAGGTATTATTGTTTCCGTCTTTATAAGTGAGAGATTGATAGTCTTTGGTCAGAGTCCATGTCCAGGGTAGGAGGAACACAATGGGAAGTGTGAGACAGCACTTTCCTCTTTTTCTCCAGCACAAAAGTCTCCTTCCAGTGTGTGACCTTCCATGCAAAACAGCTCATTTTTAAAACTTAGTTCAAGTCTCTTAAAGACCTTGGTTACTTGCCATGGGAAAGGATATCATGTGACAGAGGCTGGGTGTTTTTCTAAGTGACAGGGGAAATGTCCCGCTACAATCACCCTTTAGTGAGGAGAACACAGTCAGAAGAATTCCTAATTGTACTAGGAACAGAGAGAGGACACCATGCTCTCATTTCTCGACTCCCCTCACTTTACCTTGTGAAAATATTTCAAGGTGACAGTTAATTGGCTAAGCAGTTAAATTCCTAAGCAGGTTTAAAAAGCATGCGGTAGAAGAAAATATTCACTCCAGTTTTTAAAAAAACACACACAAAAGAAAAAGCAAGCTAAATAGAGCAAGGAAAGTGTTATTTCTGTCCTTCTACCACCCCTGAGTGTTAAACGTGCTTGGGCTAGGCTTGCTGAGTGGCAGGAGACATCATATTATGAATATAATAATTAGGGTATACAATGTGAAAGTGTACAAGTGGCTCGGAATATTAAGTCACTTACCGTGTCAGTAGTTGGCAATTCCTCTGGAGCCAATGTGGTGTCATTAGATATTGAGATATTAACTGTAAGACAAAGATAATTTTTACTAAAAAAGTAAAATGTAAATGACAAAAAAAATGCAGAACTGGTCATCTAAAACTGCAGGGCTAGGCATTACAAATATCTTTAATAACAATATAAGGGCACAATTGATTTTTCTTTATTAAAACTACTAGAGGCCTGATGCACGAAATTCATGCAAGAGTAGTTCTTCCTTCCCCTGGCTGCCGGCACCGGCTTCCCTCTGGCACCCGGGACCCGGGCTTCCCTTGCAGCCCCACCTTTGTCTGGAAGGTCATCTGGAAGGATGTCCAGTCTAATTAGCATATTATGCTTTTATTATTATACATATTTACCTTTTACCTAGATAAAATAATCAAAAATTTGGACACATCTGTCATAGTCTAATCTGGTAAGAAACATGGCAAATATTGAATGAGAAGGCACTAAAATTGGTTTTGCGTTTCATACTTCGGTGGAAGACATGGCTGTTAACAAGTTGATGACTGCCTTCACGTAGAGTCAAACTCACAAACTGGAGTTTCACTAAGTAAGAGTCAACCTCTTGGGAATTTTTGGAAGTCTGGACTGTATATGAGAAAGTATGTCTTTGCAAAATGTGTGAAAACAAAACAAAAACACCACACAGTAATAAATAAGTAATAAATTATATACTAGTGCATATAATTGGGATGAATATTTAATCTAATTTTTAAAATTATTTCATCTAATTTGACATCATTTGTAGACGTTACCTGCAAAGAACCAAATTTATTTATTAAACCAACCCTCCTCTTGCGACTATTTCATTTAGTATTTAAAAGCATTCTATAATTAAAAGTTTTCTTTATCAGATGAGCCTTTTTCTTAATATGCGAAGCTTTTTGTATTATAAAATACATTGCTACTCAGAATATCCCTAATGTATGGAAATACTGGCAATTAACAGTTACCAGGTTTTTGTCTTTGAGGGTTGCACATTTCATTTAACATCCAAATTGCTAATTATTGTTTGGTCCCCAATCACCACCCCTTCCCCAAGCCCCTAGCCCAGTGATGGCGAACCTATGACACGCGTGTCAGAGGTGACACGCGAACTCATTTTTTTGGTTGATTTTTCTTTGTTAAATGGCATTTAAATATATAAAATAAATATCAAAAATATAAGTCTTTGTTTTACTATGGTTGCAAATATCAAAAAATTTCTATATGTGACACGGCACCAGAGTTAAGTTAGGGTTTTTCAAAATGCTGACACGCCGAGCTCAAAAGGTTCGCCATCACTGCCCTAGCCTGTCCTTTTAGTTTGCCATGGTGTAGGTCTCCACTACATAAACTTTTAAGGAGAACCAAACAGGTTTATTTGACTTTGAACTTTCAAATGTAAGCTCTATCAGGGAAGACTACAAGGGGCATGTCTTGTTCACAGCATTTCCCCAGAATCTGCCCAGTTTGGCACTTAACTAACAGGAACTCAAAAATATTTGTTTATTATTCAATCTTTAAAAAGAAGGAAATCCTGCTATTTGCAGCAACGTGGATAAACATGAAGCACTTTAATGTTAAATGAAATGAGCCAAAGACAAAGACTAATACTGCCTGGTATCACTTATAGATAGAATCTTAAGAAAAGAAAAAATAGGTCGAACTAAAAAAAAAACAACAGAGAGTAAAATGGTGGTGGCCAGGGGCTGGGGGTGGGGAAATAGGGAGAGGCTGGTAGAAGGGTACGAACTTTCTCTATAAGATGAATAAGATCTAAGGATCTAATGTAACACATGGTGACTATAATTAATAATACTGTATTACTTCATTCAAATTTGATGAGAGTAGAACTTAAGTGTTCTCATCAAATAAAATACAGTGGGGCCTTGACTTACGAGTTCAATTCGTTCTGAGACTGAGCTTGTTAAGGAGCTCGTTAACTCAAATTACTCTATCAACTCAATGCAAAAAATCAGCTGAGAGACAGCTGGTATCTCAAAAAACTCGTTAGTCGGGACACTCGTAAGTCAAGGCCACACTGTAAATATGTGAGGTTGTGGATGTGTTAATTAACTTGATGGGAAACCTTTCACAATTCATATGTAAATGAAATCATCCTGTTGTACACTTTAAGTATATTAAAATTGTATTTATCAATTATACTTCAATAAGGCTGAAAATATTTGTTTACAGTCAATAAAAGAAGCTAGGAAAGGGGCCATTTAATTTGTAGTCACAAATGAATGAGAGCAGATAAAGGCAAACACAAGGAAGTAAGGAAAGAAATAAAAAGAGGGAAGATATTTAGCTTAAGTCCTAGTTCTTCTCAGTTTGAGAGTCCATTCTGATCTTTGAAGGCTCTGGAACTGTTAAATTTTTAACCTAAAGCTGGTTGCTGCCAAGCGTTCCCATTTCCTCCGTAAAACAAGCACGCATAAAAACTGTTTGCTTACTAGAATGTTCTGTTTCATTACAGGTCACAGAAAGAATCCAAACAGGTGAAAGGATGCTTGGCCCAAGCGATACAACCAAACATGCATCCACTCCCAAAAGAACGATGTTAGCAAATTATCTTTCACAAAACCTAGATTTTTATTACCATTTTGTTCTAAAGGCTTGAAGCACATTTCTCACATTACTCCATTTGTTCACTTAAAAACACACAAGCCCATCGAGCAGGTATACTTTTATACCCCCTTTGTGTTGAGTGGGACTCTGGACCACGCTCTGCCAGGGTTCTTGCCCAGGGTTACAGGGTCAATCCAAAGTAGAGTTGGTACCCAAACCTGCTCAGCATTCTTTCTTTTCCTACCCAGCATTTCTAACTATCAAAATCAAGATGATGCAGGTGGCCACAGAAGGCAAGGTGGGAGAGCAGTTGCTAGTGTTAGATGATGTGAATCTTGACTGGAACTGAAATGTCTGAGTGTTGGGAAGAAAACAGCATATGTGCAACCACAGGCACTACTTAGATGGGGCCTGGGAAGCCGCTCGTCCTGAGCCAGGTTCTTGAATGCAATTTTATGAGCTTCCTGCACAAAGCAGTGAAGGTCTTTTCGCAACACACTTCTCTGCATAAAAACAAGGAGCGGGGAGGGAGGGGGAAAGATAGTCAATGCTTTCCATGTGTGAAATGAATGACAGGTAATGAAGACCATGAGGAAACTAAAATGGGATTCCAGTCTGAACTTTTAGCAACTACTCTTAAGTTTTGGGGACACGTCAATGCTGTTCATAAAATTCCTTTTATCTTTTTAGTTTTCCTCGGAGTCAAGCTCCTAAATGAAGTACATAGGCTCTCAAAACACCAAAAGACCAGTATCAAAAGGACAGTAAAAAAATATCAACTCTTCATACTTATTTTAATAAGCAGCTGCTTCAAGAGAAAGACTTTAAAAGAAATATGTAAACAAGCACTTCCACAAATATATATTGGCAGAATATGGTAGAGTCCATAAATAAGATTAAAAGTTAATTTATTTAAGCTCACAGAAGAAAAAATGACTAATTCCAATTGGGAGCTTGGTCTACAAGAGCCATTGGTCACCGTTTGGATCTAGAATTTGATACATGATACACATACGATGCAAATATTTTGGCAACCAACTGCAGAATGGTCTGTTTATGTAGAATTTGCAATATCCTTAATTAGGATTCTGGAAAGGTCAAATGGAAAAGCCAAAATACACTGCACTCGGCCTGTCCTCACTATTTGCTGAGCACTGGGTCTTATGAAGCAAAGGAAGTCTTTGCCCTAAGAGCCTGGCTCATTTAGAATCAGCCGCTTGTTATCGGGACAGTCTGTGCCCAATACTTGGTTTCAGGGAGTTTCCGCAGGTTGATCGTTTTATGTTACTTGGATTTTCACTTCCTGATCCTCCTTCCCACGTATCAAATTCTAGCTGATCCTCTGGAACAGGGGAATGAACGTGGTCAGTAAGAGACATTTAAACCCGTGTCTGTGAGTTTTCACTCTTTAGCTGGCTTTCCTTTCTTTATGTTTCATGAGAGATCTAGAGAAAGAACGGGCTGTAGGAGCTATCCGTGGACATATCCATGTGTCCTTGCTAGTATACCTTCTGCAGAGGGACTATCAACTGCACTGCTTAATGCTGTCCTTCTTTATCCTCTAGTAACCTGGCACCAGGAACCACCCCGTGACTCCTCTGCTTTACACATCAGCAGGAACTGTACCATCAGGAACACACGCAAAAGCTTACTTAAGACCACGAGGTCAAGTACGAGCAACAACTGGCCCCTGAGGCAGATCTGTCTGCTTTGATGTACCACCACATCACAATGGAGAGAAAGGGACACTGGGAGAACTGGGCTGAAATTCTGGCCCCGCTACCTTCAGAAGCACAGGGTCTCCAAACTCCCTCGCCACATAATCTGGAGGAAGTTACGTCACTCCTCTTGACTACAAATCCCTCATTTGTGAAATTGGATTTAGAACTATCTACCTCAGAAAGTTACTGTGTGGATTAAATAAGACATTGTAGGCATAAGTGTTAGCACAGGGTCCATTACCAGGGAAGAGCTAAATAAATGGTAGCTAAGATTATTACTAGCTTTACTAGTATGACCTGGAGAAAGCAGAATTATATGCCTGGAGAGAATGTCAGCTAACTCCCAAATTTATGTGATAATTAAATGCATATGTATTATAGTACATATATTAAAATGTAGTTTATGGAAATCCTCTAGTAAAATGGCTGGTATTGGGAGGGTGCTTCAAAAAAGTCAACCAAATCTGAAACTATACCCTCCGCACAGCTTGTGGGGTTACAATCATGTGAAACTGACTAACCTGCTCTGAATCAGAATACATTTAAGAGTATTCGTCATGACAATAAAACTTTAATGTTTTAGCCCATTCTATTTCAGCAACATCTTTAGGGAATTCAGTTACTGGAAAATAGATACAGAATAAAACTGAATAAGCTCCTTGCCTACCTGGTCATATCAGCTTTCTGTAAGGGCCCTGGAAAATTGGAGCACACATGTGCCTCTGGAGAAAGTCAAATATTTATGCTTT